ATCCCTCTATCGGGCTCCTCATGGAGCGACATGTCCCGCCCCAGGGCGCAGAGATATAGGGTCAATTCATTCCTGGAGGCACAGTCATCGGCATTAACCTATGGGTTCTTAGCTTGGACCCCAGAGTGTATAAGGACCCTGAATCCTTCATTCCTAAGCGCTGGTTAACTGCAGACGCGGAGTTACTCTCCAAGATGGAAAATAGCTTTTTGACTTTCGGCGCAGGTTTGCGAACTTGTATTGGAAAGTATATTAGTCTGATAGAAATGCATAAGGTGATGCCGCAGTTACTTAGGAGGTATACTATCAAGTTGGAGGATCCTAAGGCTGAGTGGCGAACATCGAACCGTTGGTTCGTACAGCAACATGGGCTTATTTGCACCCTAAAGAAAAGAACCTGAATCTTGGAGAGAATGATACTCGTTTGAGAACCTACGACTGGATATTCATCATTATATTAGCAATGTTTACGTGGCGTTGAAATATTAATAGCCATAATTATCGGTATACCAACCAAAGTTAGCGTAGGAAGCTTTCTCATATCGTTGCACAATATTCAATTACCGAAATGGTGTTTGCATAACAGATATGCAACTATCAGTCGTTGACCAACGAGCTTTATGCTTCCTCAGCCTGATCCTGTAGCCTCATTTTCATGCAACCCCGCATCGCAGCTCAGCTGAACTTCTCATCCCCATCTCTCCCTCAGCCCAACTGTTCTCGAATAATCACATTCAAACCGAAGAACGACGTTGCAATGTCTGGCGCTGAAGCTGCCCTCCTCGGAGTTGACATCCTCTGCAACGCGATGCAGATCCTAACCTTTGCCAAGGACTCTATCCATGTCTATCGTAACATTCGCGATGGCCGAGCTCCTGACCCAAACTTAGACTCATATCTAAGAAATGCGAAGGCTTCTTTCGATGAGATGAATCAAACTGCCGCACAAATGAGGCCACTGACTAAGGAGCAGCAGAAGATCGTTGATGTTGGAAAACAGATCCATGATTGCGTGGACGAGTTGCAGCAACAGTTTTCCAAACTACATGTGGATGATAAGTCAAAGAGAGGGTTCCATGGCAGGTTGGCTGCCTCGAAGAAAAGCGCAACCGCACTGTGGCGTGGAAAGGAACTTCAAGGCGTCGAAAGCAATCTCCAACGGCACGAGCAGCTCTTGCAAAGCCTCCTGTTGGATCGAGTCTGCAGCCAATCTCAAGCCGCCGAGCTCACATCGTTGAGATCTTTTCAGCATGTTCATGGGGCCTTGCAAGTCATCATCTCACGACTGGGAGACAGCTCCGCAAAGGTTTCAGAACTACTGACAGACTTATCTTCCGATGTAAGTAATCGGCTTGTCGAAGAGCACGCAACGTCGCAAAAGGTCATTGGAGACCGCATAGGGTCGGCGGAGGATTCGGTCCTGCAGAGCGTTTCTCAGTCGCTCGATAATCTACGTCGAGAGCTGCTCGCGCGCGAGCAGGTTAAAAGTTTAGAGAAGCAACAGGAGCAACTTCTATCAAGTCTACGGTTTCCAGAAATGAACGGCCGAAGGAATCATATATCAGACAATTATCCTGGAACCTTCGCTTGGATTTTTGATCGACATACCTCACTGCATTTGAATGCTATCTCGTCTAGTGGGTCAGAGCAAGATGATCAGGTACCGGAAGACACCAAGTCTAGCGAAATAGGTGACCGCGGTTCTGAAATTTCTGCTGCAAACGCCAAAGAGCCTGGTTTCGACTGTGTCTCATGCTGGCTAGAATCAGATTTAAATCTTTTCTGGATCAGTGGCAAACCAGCATCAGGGAAAAGCTCTCTGATGAAGTTTCTTGCTTCCAACGATCTAACGATGGGCCAACTCAAAGCATGGCGCACCGATATCCAGATTCTCACACACTTCTTCTGGAAGCCAGGCCAGCTGTTGCAACAAACTGTAAAAGGCATGGTGTTGTCGCTACTCCATCAGGTCTTGACTGCTATGCCAAGCCTTTGTCAGAAGTTGTACACAACCCAGCCTTCCACGAAGCACAAGGCAAGCCACTCAGACTGGAGTCTCCATGAGTTGACAGAAACCCTGGTTTGGGTGCTGGAAGCTTCCCCTGAAGACTTTTGCATATTCTTAGACGGCTTGGACGAGGCCAAAGATCTAGGAAATCTGCTTCACCCTGACTGGACCCATTCAGGGGTCATTCATAAACTCCTGAAACTCAAGAATGTGAAGATATGTGCATCAAGCAGGGAGGAGCATGCTTTTGGCTCCTTTTTCGAAGATGTATCTCGACTCAGAATTCACCTGTTGAACAATCCCGATATCACCCTTTTCATCCGTGAACGGCTAGATATTTGTGGCTTAGGGTGTCGCGATCGAGATCAACTCATACTCAAGACTGTGGAAAGGGCTCAAGGCGTGTTTCTATGGGTCACTCTGGTTGTAGATCGCTTGAATCGGGCCATCCGTCAAGGTTACCGAACTATGGAGGTACTCCAACAGCGTCTGGAGCAGACGCCCTCAGATCTAAATACGCTCTATACGGACATGTGGAGTCGAGCCGGAGATGACGGCCAACTACCCAATATGAAAGTGGCTG